AAAAATTCGCTTCTTTGAATTAATTATAATGAAAATGTAGACAAACAAAGTAAAAATACTCAAGTTTAAGTAAACATCTTAGCTTGGCAGAAGTCAAAACCTCGGAGCAAGGTTTTGGTTGTTCAGAATAATCTTCACATTGCCGAAACATAAACAAATTAAAGGAACTTGCACTAAACTCGAAGGAAATTTTGCAGCTAAATTAAAACTGCACACGTCATGTTATATACGCACGGCTGTTCGTTTATTTAAGAATTGTTTCATGCTTAGCGTGCGTATATCGAGTTATGGATGCACGCGGGAAGTTTGGAGAGAGCGAAAGAAGCGTAAGAGTTGCTCGAGGCGATATTCGTTCATGATGGCTCAATGGAAATCAGGTAGGATTAGCGCGCGCTATGTTATAAAGAGATCATGATGGCTCAATAGAAATTAGGTAGGGCTAGCGCGCGCGCTATGTTATGTGTTGTCTTCTTTCCAGTGGACCGGAAGGAACTGGACTGAGTGGATCCTCGGCTAGCTTTCCACTCAAATCTCACCAAATTATAAACAAGAAATGAGGTTTCCTACATATACATGCAGATCTTTGATAGCCACTGAGTTGTTTTCAAAAAAAAAAAAAAAAACGTTCAAATGTTGTTGTTTATAGTGGTCAATGCGCTTAACTTCACCTAGGCCATAACAGGCCTAAAAATCCCAACCGGCGGGAGGCAGACCAGTTGGCCTTTTACAAGCATGACCGAGGAGTTGAATTACAATGAACTCCAGTTTAGTGGTCAGAGTGAGACTTATGCCGCGACCTCCGGATTTCAAGTCCGCTGCGCCCCCTCCTACCTAAATTTCCATATTGTCAGTTCACGCTGCGTTGAAACAATTCTGAGACAATCATGGAACTGAACAGTTTACGATATTAAATGTTATTCCTAGCCCTGAGTTGCTCAAGTTACCAGGAGCTAGCAAATAGTGCTGGCGAAATAATCACATCCTTAAAAAGTCAGGGTTATTAAAAGTCATGCGACATCAAGATCCACAGCCATTTATCACAAAATCACTGATTACGGGCTTTTTCTACTCAATGGCTGAACCTTCAGCGAAATACAATCTTAAAGGGACCCTTTTGAAAGAGAGTTTGTTTTTCAGTAGGCAACTGTGAAGTGCTTGACGACAAAGTTTGCTCACCTGAGCCGCTGTTTTAACTAAAATTCACAAATTCATGAGGTTATATAATCATTAATTCATGAAATGAATTTCAATTTGGTAAACGTTGCATGACGACTTTTTATGAAGTCTTGTTCAAGAAGTTTGAAACACGAACGACTAAACTATA